AAAGAAAACGAAATCAGAATACCTTGGACATAATTTCCAATTACTGCCATAAGAATAAAATAATTAAAAAGGTGATCTTGTATCAATGATCCCATCTTCAGAAAGATCTTGCAAAACATAACATAGAAAGTGGTGATGGCAAACACTACAATGCCATATTTTCACTTTCTATTAAATAGACTGTTTATTTCATATGGCAATGTGTATTCTCGTGAAAATGAAAAATAAAAAAAACTTTGTTTAAAATTCATCAATTAAATTTTTAAAAACTTCAATGCTAGGCTACTCGTTGCAAAACAAAAACAAACCAACAAACCAACTCGCATGGCTGCCTCGTAGAAAAAGGCTTATTTTGAATTAAACAATTAAATTTCAAAATGCAGTTTTCATTTTTTTATTTTTTTATTTATTTTTTATTGGGAAAAAAATAACTTTTTGTTGTCTTATTCACTGGTTGTCCATGACAAGCATACATGGAACATCTTTAGGGTTCCTTTATCCTTTGCTATACTATTTTTGGCTTATTACAAAAGGTTTTATTTACATTTCATTTGAAATAATAACATAATGCATGAAGTCATAGTTTAAATAGCGTAGAACTTGGGAAAGGATACAAAACGGATCACATACATACGTCAAACAACCGAAAACAGAACATTTTAATTTCATTCTTTAGAAATATGCTTTCTTAACGTTATTTTAGTTTCATTCTCAACACTTTCGAAATATTTTCTGTCCATAACTCACATGATAGCTATACAAATAAGGCCCTGTGATAACGCAGCAGGTGTACTTTATCACACCAATTTAATATATTTATTTTAATCAATAAAAAAATCCAAAATTGATTATCAAAATACCTAGCTGATTCCTTCGAAGGCAATTAGCCAATCAGCGTAAAGTTAACATGCATGCCTTGATAGCTTTACGCCATAGGGAAAAAATGGCGCCTCACCGCTGGCCTGATCGGGGTAGGGTACTGTCTATGTTTTTCTATCCAAAGAAAATCAATTAATAAGGGGTACAAGTCTTCAATATTTTGATCTGGATATGAGATAACACTGAATGAAAAGATTTGATGGTTAAAAGTTTTTTTTTTTTTTAAATGTTTGAGGCTTAAAAAGCGAGTTAATACAAATCATAAGGTACCCCTCCCCGCTATAATTTTTTGTCCCATTGGCAATTTGATGCGGGTTTTACTTGGCCGAGCAAGTCTGCTATCGATCTTTTTTTACGGTGACTCGTTCTTTCGAAGTTTCTTAATTGATATTATTCATTTCAAATCATCATAGTTAGCTTTCGCCTCTTCTAGAAGTGCAATTAGAGCCTTTTCAGCTGCTCTGATAAGTTTGGGTTTTTTTTATATTCGGAAAGCACTTTTTTGGATTTGCTTTGGTTTTGGTTAAGGGACGTGATGATTTTTAGTTAGCGCTTACAAAACCGAAACGGACTGTGATTTAGGGTTTAGTTAAGAAGGGACTGGAATGACTTGGGACTTTATATTCAAGCTTGTTTGGATGGCTTTGAACATTATTTGAAGAAAATATGCAAAACCGTTATCACGCTCGTGAATATTATACGGCCTATTGGCTTTTTACTCTTTGGCCCGTGAATACACCATTTACGTGTAAAGTTTTCACCTTTTATTTTCCACTCGTGAAGTCTGTAGTTTAATTGCGAAATTTACATAATTCTTTAAGTCATTTCGCAGAATAAAGCGAATTCGTATATCGCACTTTTACATGCTAATGAATTTTGCTAATATTCTAATGAGCTGTTTTCGAACCAAATATATCCTTGAAAATACTCCCACAAAACTTAACCATTCGAAACCCCAAACATCATATAAATGTATGCTAACAAAAATAAATGTTTTAATTATCGATTTGTTAAATAATCTCTTTAGATATTTTCAAATGAACACAATTTCTGTGCCGAACTTCAGCTCAGTACGTACAATAGAAACATAACAGGCGTTGTTTATCCTTCAAATATTTACTATGCAAATTAAAGTCAACCCGTTTTAAACTACGTGCTTGTTGAGTAGACCAAAGTTTGCTGCAACAATTCAAGTTTCCTTTTATTATCATCAGCACTTTTGTTTCACTTTTAATGTGCAGAGGATATGGGTAGTTCTCAGTGCAGTCTTTGAAACAACCTTATGCGTCTTTCAGCCAAAAATGTTGTTAATTCAACACAGATAGGCAGCAACCAATGTGGGTGTCTCCATATCTGAGATACCGCTTTAAAAATTTTTATCTCTTTAAACACATGCTCTATTTTGACTCTTCTTTTCGATAAGCTCGGTTGAACTTTCTGGCACGTCTCCTCCCTCTTTGGTTTAACAGAGGCATCTGTCCTGCACGAACAGGTGTTAGTAGAGCTCCTCCATCAGGATAACCTCTGTCGCCCAACAGTTTAACACCTGGCGGTAAATCTAGGACTAAACCGGGCCCTATAGGCTGCATTAACCTATAAGCAGTCGCATTATGTGTGCTACCCAAGAAGCCAGCCTGAAGAAACCGAATATGGCCCTCATTATCCATTACCAATTGCGTAGTATTTAGGCAGTGATAGTGCCTATGGCCACTGTAAAATTGTTGCTGAGGCTCCGCCAGAGGGCAATAAATCTCATGCGGGGTTGCATCTATAGCACCGACGGCATTTGGTAACTCTGGCCAGCTGCCCATTAGATTTCTCCACTCCGCGAGGTTCGGCCAGGTGATTTGAGTTTGGAAATATCTCCACATTACTGGTAACGTCCTGTAAATAATGCGGATAACGCAAGGGCGGATACAGGAGGAGGGTCGGGGGGGTCGCGACCCCCCTGTCATTCCTGAGGTCAAATGGGCTTCCTGTGGTAAAAATGCGACTGGGATTCCTTTGCCCACAAAATTTACAACTGAGACCCCCCTTCAAAAAAACCCTGGATCCGCCCTTGTAACGGACGTAGAGTCTATATCAAACCACAGTGCCAAAGTGTCTATATGAGAATGTTTACGTAACCACAACATCACAAGCAGAACTTGGTTAACTACGTTTATTTTCAGTATCCTCTGGCGTACACGGGGTTGCCCGTCTAATGTTAAGTTCTGCAAGGTTGGGAGGATATCGTTCGCAAGTCTGAGAAACGACATAGGAGTTTCGCCAGTGTTCCGCCAGAAGAGGTGCGCTTGCCTTGATATAAGAGAAAACACATCTCTACCAGGAAATACTTCCCCGTGAAAATTCTCAAAAAGACGATGTTGTAAGGGAAATAGATTTTGTTGAGGTGGTGGCCTAATAAAGGCGACAAACAGCAATATCCAGGCGACTATATTTAAAAGAACTACTCGGACTTGCTGCGCATCCATGCTGCACGAACTGCTGAGCGAAGATGCGCATTCCAACATAAAACACGGCATTTTTCATGCCATTCGCACGTGAATCAACATGCGTGCGCTAAAAACTTGCATATTGCGCTTGCTGTGTACGGAGCAAGAGGATTCATATTTACACTCAGCTGACTACTTTCGAATTTCTAATAAATAAATTGTTCAGCAAACGTGCCACGTCAGTATCTAAACATATAACTTTTGTATTGGTACTTTCGATATCAACCCTCAACCATACTTAGTTTGTTGTTTATTACGAATATTATGTCCCTCCAAGAAAAGTCGGGTCGGAATTGGAGAGAAAGAAAAAAGTGTTGTTCTCGAATGTTACAAGACTCTTAACAGCAAAGGATGGAAAGAGGTTGTCTTGACAGCACGACAGGAGATTAGAGAGATAGCAGCAAGCATGCACAGCACGTAGTTAACCTGTATTTAACCCAAACAGACGAGTCCCTGACCAGACGCATGCAAAACATAGTAAAAAGTGCTATGCAGCAGCTCTATGTCCCGAGTCAGGAGAGATTGAAACGGAGAAACAACTTCTACTTTCAAATCAAACCAGATATTCAAGAAAAATGCCACCAGATGAGAGAAGGGCTGAAGCCCTCAAGGTAAGGCTGGATCAGAATTTTGCTGATTCATCTCCTAGCGAAGACGAGAGTATCGAACCTTCTGCTAAGAAGAAGAGGAAGGTAGACACAGCGAAAGAAGCTAACCTTGCACAAGCAAAGATGTGCGAAAAAGCTATGAGCACGATGGAGAATGTYAATCAGCTTTTKCTGAAAGTAGACAAATRCATCAGTGWTCAGAACRGAAYAAAACCCTAAASAGAGAGACTTTTCAAGTAAAAACTGTAGAAATTCGTCGAAGAAATGTAGAATGATTTATTTGAATGAATTGAAACTTTCATGTTTTGTTAATAAAATAATGGTATAAAATGCTCTAATTTCCCTATAACGTCAAACAGTTGTGCAGTGTTTCCAATTCGTGTCTTTTTTAATTATTGTTTTTGTATTTGAATATTAGCAGACCTCATTAGCATGCTAAAGTGTGATATACGAATTCGCTCTAATGTGCGGTTTTCCTTGCAGTCTCTTTATATTTTTGCGCGACGCCGCATTGCATAAATGCACTGGTTCGATGCTAACAAATGTTGAGCATTGTCATGTAGGCCTGTAAAGCTCTCATTCTATTCACAGTACCATTGTACTTACTACCACTTTATATACACATTGACGATGGCGCGAGCAACGTCATAATAAAGTTATTATTTAAAGGGGCACTTGGATATAAATCAATGAAAATTATAAATATCTTTAAACTTGATTAAACTTGTCTATATGGCCCAGACAGTAGCCAAGCAACATGGAAAAAATAATAATTTCATTAAGCATCTAAATTGTGAGTAAATGGCGTTATTTACTCAACCCTTTTGTTCTTTTCGCTTTTAACTCAATATATCTCAATACCAAGCAGCTCCCAGTCTAAAATTGTCACTAATTTGGTGTTCATAATTACAATTGAGTCATATTATCCTCAAATACTTAAATTTTTCGAACTTTCAAAAATCGGAGCGTTTTCATCCAAGTGCCTCTTTAACCATACCAATTGTCCTGTGAGAACTAAAAACAACGTAAACAAGTAATGAGGCGTTATGGATGTTGCTTCCGATGAAGATGGACGAGGAGCTGTTGAATATAATAACATTTACGAAATGAAAAATTAATGAATAAAGAACTTAAAAAATAATATAATGCATATTATTTATTTGAGCGTGGGCAATAAATTTGTTGTTATTGTTGTTAGTATTGTTGCTGTTTTAAAGTTGTATATGGCGCGTTTAATCAACTTACTTTGCGAGCTTGCTTTCATTGTGTTATTCGTATGGTTGCTTGAAACTGTAACGATTTCTGATTTCTGCACTTGATCTATAAATTAATGGAAAAAAATATCCCGTGGTTCGTCATTTAGAATAAGGACATTACTGTAGCTGTTAATGACATTTTATATCTTTCGTTTCTGAATTTTACCGGGAATATTATTGAGTAATCTATATTACCCAATTAATATAAAGCTTTTCAAAATGGCAAAGTGATATTGTTATATTCAGTGCATAAGTTATTTCAGTAGTAAAGAACATTCTCCCAAATGACATTGCTTTTCGTGTGGCCATCAGATCTATGTCCATATTTGGTAAGCTTTCCCTAATTTGGAAGTGCACTTTTTTTCTTTTTTTTTTTTTGATAGATACACGATAGTATGAACTAAAACTTGCAGCTATTGCGGCGAAGTATATCAACTAGTCGAATCTAACTCAGAAACCTGRCATGGCTTTTAACAAAGGAAGCCCAAAACGCCTTAAACCGCGGTTATCCCACGTGAACGACAATATAAGTTTGAGATATTTCCAACAATACTAACCTGACCCATCTTTCACTGACAATTCAACAGAATATGACTGTAGTTCCGAGACATCACCATAACTTATCCTTGCAATGTACACATCGGTATCATTACTTGTCAGGTTTTTGATCACAAACCAAGCATGGCCTTGGCTTAGGTTACCAACGAAATCTACTCTACCAGTGTATGGCTTGGGCAATGAGGGAGAAATTGTTTTTCCATTTATCGTATTCATATTGATAAACTGGGGATCAGCCATTTGACCATTGCCTAACCCCCACACAGCT